AAATGTACAGTCAAAGAGGAAGTTTTAATTTCTGGTTTGCTTGTGCTTGGGGACCACACCCAGCAGTACTCAGGACTTACTCCTAATTCTGCACTCAGGGATCACTCCTGAGGGCCGAGAGGTGCTGCAGGACTCTGGCATCACCAGCGACAGAACCCTGGCTGCCACCATCTCTGCTGTACTCTAGCATGGGCTCTGAAGAGAGTACTGTAAGAATACATTGACTTTTTTTTTGCTCTTTGGGTCACACCCAGTGATGCTCAGGGGTTCTTCCTGGCTCTGTACTCAGGAATTACTGTTGGCAGTTCTTGGGGGACCATATGGGATGCTGGGGATCGAACCTGAGTTGGCCACGTGCAAGGCAAATGCCCTACCGGCTCTACTATCACTCCGGTCCCAAGAATACATTTTAAAAATATATGGAAATTAGTTAAAATAAAACTACAATAGGACATTTTCTAAGCAGCAACCAAAGCAATACTAAAGAGGGGAAAAGGAAAGAGCCGGAAGAAAAGTTACTCGCTCTACCTGAAAAGGAATCCCTTGTTTTCCTGTTTCTTTGGTTTTTGGTTGTTTTGTTTTGTTTGTTTGTTTGTTCTGTTTTGTTTTCCCCACACCCTTTATTGCCCAGGGACTTCCCAGGCAGTCCTTAGAGAACCATGCGGTGCTGGGGCTATCCATTTGGCACAAAGCCTGGGGAAGAAACGCTTTGCGATAGTAGTGAGGCCAGCTGGACAGACACCTCACAGCTCTTGTCAATTTCTCCCGCTCTGGGTTCAAACCACAAGCGCTGCAGCTGAGCCTGGGTCTACCTCCAGCTGCGAGCAAGAATCTAATAAGAGTTTCCTCAGAGCTAGTCCTGCAGAGGTCAGGATGTTCCTCTCCTCCTTCAATGAGTGTGGGCAGTGAATGGTTCAGTCCACGAGAATCGAGCGGCTCTGAGTACAGGCACAGCTGCAGGCACAAAGCGCACCAAGCGGGTGGCTTAGAACCCTTAGGACGTCACTGCCTTCCAGTCTGGGACGTGCCAGAGACCGGTGGCCCTCTCAGCGCTGATTTTCCGGGTCCTTCTGAGTCCACCCCCCCCCCATTCCAGTCGAGCTCATCTTCCTGCCACCTGCAATGACTCTTTCCAAACAAAGGCACCTTTCCAGTGCTGTCTACAAGCGTGGGAGCATGGGTCCTTGTCTACGAGCTCATGGGCCGGTCTCATCCAGGCCACCTGCTCTGGGATGTGAGTGTATGTGTTACCTCGTGGGCTCCCGGTGGGCTGCCCGGGTAAGAAGCAGGCCTGTCCTCCCACCCCTCGTGCCCCCCCTAGGCAGGTCGTGCCCCTCCTCCTCGTCCCTCCTAAGAGGGTAGGCCAAGGGCCACCAACTCCTGGGGCTCCCCCCAGGGACCTCTAGTCTTCTGGTGGGGAGGCAGTGGGAGAAAGCAGGTGGCCCGGGGCCACTATAGCAGGCAGCAGGACAGCAGGATGATTTTAAGGGTCCCTGGTGCACGGGGACCGCCCAGGCCAGCACCCCAGGGGCCTGACTCAGGGCTGCATGACCCTAGGGTACAGGGACAGTGGCAGCTATGTGGGTTTCCGTCACCCATCTCAGCCATCAGAGGAACCTGACTAGATGGCCCCCAAGGCTGAACTGGGAAGGGGATGGTGGATGCAGGGGGAGACCGAACAGCTAGAGCCTCAGGGGAACCGTCAGGAAGATTCAGGGGTGCGGTGCCGGGGCCAAAGCAGGAGCTGCAGGGCGGAAGTGGTGTGTACCCCTTGCCAGAGGCTCAAACCACAAAGAGTGCTGTGGGGCGGGGTGCCCAGTACCGTCAGCTTCAGGACAAGTGTGTGTCCAGATGTGCAGCTGGAGGAGGGCCAGGCCTGGCCACTGGGGAGGTAACGGTTCAGCTCCTAGAGTGGGCCCCTGCACCTGGAGGCACCATGGTGGCCCAGTGGCTGGAGCTATGGGGGGCCCGAGGGAATCCTGATGGCAGGGAGCAGTCAAGAGCACCACGCGGGATGGGGACATGCCCTGGGCAGAAGCACGGGGCTGAGGGTCCATTAGCTGGGTGGGCGCCTGTGAGCAACCATGTGAGCAACCCCATGGGGCCTTGACGCCCACCACCACACTGGGCAAGCTTTGTCCAAAGCGAGGGAGATACTGAATAGTGTGGAGGGAGCCCAGCACAGGGGTGGCCATACTTCCGGGGCCCCCACTCTCCTTGGAAACTTGAAGATCATCTAGGGACCAGCAGGAGGGACCCAGAGGCCTGCTGAGAAGAAAAGAAAGAGTTAATGGCACCTCGAGCCTCCATATCTAATGACTACTTCTGAAAACTTCTCTCCCTGGTGGCAGGAGCCAGACGGGGTTCTGAGCTGCTCAGCTGCCCCCCCCCCATGAGGAGTCCAGTGGGACCCCAGGATGCTGGCTGATAGGCACTTAGTCCCAGTGAGTGCGGAGGCACTGGGCCGCAGCGGTTCCCCAAGGGGGCTCCCCCCCCCCCCCCGCCACATCCAGGCCACTATCACATGACCCCGACATCCACCCAGCCCTGTCCCCTGGAGGGAGGCCTCCCTGAGTGCGGGTTCCCGATGTCGTGAGGCATCTTTCATCTTGCCACATTCTGCCCGGGGCTTGGCCTGCACCTGTGCAGTCTGGTTCGCTGGCCAGGAGCTCAGAGACACAAGTTACCCGCATGGGAAGGAAGTAACACAGAGTGGTCGAAACCACACCTCTAGATTCAGGCGGAAAAGCCTCCATTGCTGACAGAAATGCCCCCAGCCTTCCTCCCTTCTGCAGATGGTGGCAGGAAAGGGGAATGGGGTGCTGCCTGGGGACCGGCAGGGGTTCAACTGGGCCAGTTCACACGACGACCCCTGGCAGGTGGACCTGGACTCCAAGGTGGGAAGGGTCCTCCATGAGGCCTGTTTGCCATCTCCACCCCCAGACCCAGGCTGCCAGGACAGAGGTCACTGCGTTGCCACGGAGGCTGTGCGTGTGGGCCTCAGTTTTCTCATCTTCAAGGGTGGCTGAAACTCTTGTGAGTGATCTGTCCCGTCCCGTCACACATGGCCACAGTGCTGGACAGTCAGCAATCCCGCATGTGGAACCCAGGAGGGCCTTGTCACCCCCCCCACACCCCTGACCCACAGGTTGCAGCCCCTTGGACAAGTCACTGCTAGAGGGGCTGCCAGACAGGGGCTAAGGACTCCCTTCTCGGCACCCCCAGCCCACGGTGGCAGCCGAAGCCGTCTGTTGTGGAGCCATCTGGGTCGAGGGGAGCCGGTGGGGCTCAGGCCGAAGCTGGCAGTATGGCACGGGGGGTACTGAGTCGTGACAGAGGGAGAAGCCTGCCCCCCACCTGGCATCCTGATGAAGGGGCTCCTTCTCCAGGCACCCCAGGAGGCGGCTTGCTGGGAGTGCGGGGTCTGTTCCTGGTATGGCAGAGCGGGGAGCGGTCATCAGAGCACAGAAGCGACTCCTCACGGGCTCCAGGTGTTCCGCCCCGCGGGTCTCCCCGCCTTGACTCAGTGATTCTTCCAGCCTGTTCACCCGCTTTCGTCTTGCTTCTCGGGAAAGATTATATCATCTGTAATGCACCAGATGCTCTGCTTCCTCGTGCCGGCCATGGGGCTTAGAAGCAGATTACTGGGCCTGAACTGAGCGCCGCTGGCAAGCTTGGCACTCTCTGTACCCCTCCTCCGGCTTCTGCCCCCCCTTCCTGTCCCTCCATGAGGGGATGCTCAGCTTTCGACCTCAGCTACCAGGCAGATTTGGGGACTGCCATGAGGCTATGAGGTTAAACATGGCTGGGTAAGGGCCTGGCGGGAGCTGCAGTGGGCATCTGAGGGCCAGCACTTCCGGAAGTCTCAACAGGCATGCCCTCATCCAGCCCACAGACCACCATGCCTCGGGGCACCAAAGCTGAGCACCCAGGATGTCCTACCAAACGCCTGACATGCTGGGTGGTCAAGGAGATGGGCCGGGGGCCTTGGGCGCTGAGAGATCTCATCAGAAGCTGGCAGGGCCTGAGCGGAGCCAGGCGGAGCCTAGGGTATAGCCAACCCGCCTTTCACTGCCGCTATGTGCTTGCCTTCACCCAGGCACGGGAGCCCCCCCTGTGGCTGCCCGAACCCCTGCAGCTCTGCTCCTCCTGGCAGGCAAAAGCGCAGGCACGTCCGGGGCATCCCAGGTCTGCCCGGCAGATGCCGCCACCAGCTGGCACTGTCCCTGAAAGGCTCTGGAGCTGGAGTCCGTGGGGCAGGCACGCCACAGATGGGGCCGTGTGAGCCCAGGCGGTGCTGGGTGGGGAAACAGAGGCAGCATGCCGGGAAGGGCCCCTCCATTCCTCAGGGGAATTCCACGCCACCGCACGTGCCGGGTGGCCCAGGGCCACAGAGCAATTGGCATCCGACCGTGCCCCACTCGGGATCGTGCCAGGCTGGTGGAGAAGGGACGACCCCGCCCAGGGCCCCACCACCCATCCTGGCAGCCTTCGTTCTACGCAGCTGGGGCCCCGGGCTCCGAGGCCAGGACGGAAGCGGCGCCTCCCCCCGGCAGCGCAGCTCTGCCACCACGCCAGCACGTGAGCACTATCAACGCACTGCCTCAGTTTCTCCCGCCAGAGCACGGTCAAAGTCTCCTGGGACTGGCAGAGAGCAAAGGAGGTCGTTGCTGGGCACCCAGCGAAGCCAGCCAGGCAGGGCCTGGGGCTGCCCCCTCGCGGCTGAGCCCCCGTCGCTGGCGCCGCCCCTTCCTGGCACCGACACCCCCGAGTCGGCTCCGGGAGATGGGGAGAAAGCTGGGGGGCTCCGGGCCCCGGTCGCGTGCCCCCTCCTTGGTGGCGCAGCCCGCCCCCTCCCCCCCGCAGACCCCTCCTGGGCCGGGGTCCCCTCCTCGGCGCGCCGCCGCTCCCCACGCACGACGGGCGACACGGCCCCTCCTGGGCTGGGGGCGGAGAAGACGGCGGCCGGGGCGGGGAGGCGGCGGCGGAGGCGGGATCCGGAGTTGCGCTCGGCAGCCGCGGCGGCCGCTCAGCTGCAGGCCAGGCCGCCGCCCGAGGCTCCGGCGGCTGCTGCGCGGTCCGTTCCGGTCGCCAGAGCTTCGGAAACTTCCCCGCCGCGAAGCGCAGAGCCGGCGCGGGGAGCCGAGGCCAATGGAGGGCAGCGGAGGTGAGCCGAGCCCACGGCATCCCGGGCCCCCACCCCCACGCGGCCTGGCCGCCCCCGACGTGCGCTCCTCCACCCTGCGCCCCCAAAGTCCGGCCCCGGAGAAACCCGCTCGGGCGCGCCACCGTACATGGCTCCCGTGGCCCCCCGCCACGCACGCTCCCTGCCCCTCACGCGGGCACAGCCACGCGCGCCCCGGCCGCCTCGGACATGGGGCCAGCATCATCGCAGACCGCACATGCGGAGGACACACCCAGTCGTGCGCACACACTTGCCGCGGGTCCTTGCCCTGCCGCAGGGCTCCAGACCCCCAGCCAAGGCTCCCCACCCACGTGCGCAGCCAAAGACTCTGCAGTCCACCCCCCACTCGCCCGCACCCCAGCCGCCGTGCCCCTCCTAGCCACACCCCTCCTGCCTCCCCGCAGGAGCTCCCCTGAACCCCCGCACGCGCTCACACCTGCTGGATTCCGGTGTCCGTCCCCGGCCGCCCCCCACCTCGCCCATAGCCCCCAGCCGCCCGCACATCCCCGGCCCCCCCACCTCTGGCTGGAGAGGCCTCAGGAGGCTGCAGCTTTGGGGGCATCTGTGCCCGAGGCAGCAGAGCCATCGCAGCCCCTGTACCTCTCTAAACAGACTGGCTTCCCCGGGGCTGGCTTGGCCGCTTCCCTGACGAGGAGGGTAGTTAGGGCCCGAGGTTCTCTTAGGTGAGGAGGGGGGAGGGGAACTGGCCCTGGAATGGGGGTGTGCTGGGAGCTCGGGGTCGGACGGATGCGGGTCAAGGCGAGTGGCTGGGCTGGGGGCGAGCGGGAGCGCCGCGCCTCCGCGGCTCCCTCGCGCAACAATTGGTTTCATTCACTCGTGCCTTCTTTGTTCACACGCATTTCTTCCTGAGCGGCGCGTGCCAGGCCCTGCACCGGCGAGGGGGGGCCTGCGGCCAGCGGCGGGCCAGGCACGCGCCCGCCCCGGCCTCCGAGGAACTCCCCGCCCCGCCAGGAGACCGCGCACGAAGGAGCGCCGGGGCCAGGAGCAGAGCGTGGAAAAGACTCGGGATGTGACAGGGACGCTGTCGCCGGGAGTTGCATTCACGGCCACGTGACCTGGCCGCCACAGCCCCAATCCTGCTCCCCTGGCCCGGCGGGTAGCTCACAGTCGGGGGTGAGGGGAGATGGCAGGTCTGGCGGTGGAGGTGTGGCGCGCTTTCCGGACGCGCCTGGCCACCCGCGGGAGCCTGCCCACCTCTTGGCCTGGCCGCGGGAGTGTGGGGGGCGGGGAGGGTCGGGGGCGCCCGGCGCGGGTTGAGCGGCCAGAACGCAGCCTGGGCCCCCTAGCCCTGGGAGCGGGCGGGGCCGGGGACCAGAGTCCTGGCGCGCCCGCCTGGCGAGGGTCGGGGGAGGGAGGGGGGCTTGGCTGCGCTCAGCCCTGCAGTGCGGAGGTGGCAACAGGTTCGAGTTTGTCCTGCTGCTGGCGCGGCGGGCGCTTCTGGCACGAGGCGCCCGAGCGCTCCCTCTGGAGATTGAAGCCCGGCTCCTCTGCGCTGGCTCTCCTGCCGGGAGGGCTGACCGGCCGGGCCGCGGAACTCGAGCCCAGAGCGAGGGCTAGGAGGTGCTGCCCAGCTCCGTCTGCCTGCTGCTGTCTCCTCTGCTTCCCTCTGGTCACCTCCTCCAGGCAGTCCTCCTGGGGCTGGCCATACCCGCTCCGGCCACACTGCCCTCTTCAGAAGGGGCCGGGGCGGCAAGTGTCTGTGGGCCACCCAACCCCGCTGCCCACCTGATGACCGCAGCACAGACAGGGCTGATCCCTGGCGCACCCACTGAGGTCCTTTGCCCCTGCCTAGTCGAAGGTGCCCTCACAGCTGCAGCAGTCTGAAGGGGGCCCCCAAATCGGGTGCTCACGGCCAGGAGGCAGCCCACCTCTTGCCTTGGAGAGAAAAGATATCAGAGCTTCAGCCCAGGGGCTCCGTCCCAGACGAGGGCCCCCTCCTTCCTGGAGCCTCAGGGAAGCAGATTCCCTGCTGGCCCAGGAGTCTGGAAGGCTGCCTGGCGGAGGTCACACGGCGGGGAGGGCTGACGAAGGGGCGAAATCTGTGAAAGAGGTGGGGGCCGAGAGTGCTGCCCCCAACCTGGGGTGCAGGCTGCAGCCGCCACGTCCCAGCGGGTGGCCCATCGGATCCCGCAGGGACGACTGCAGGCCGCCAGCTCTGGCCCCGGCTCCTGCCCCGCCGGAATGCCCACCCACCGTGCTGGCAGTTTCTCTGGCCACTGCCTGCTCCTCCGTCCCTGGACCAGGGTCCCCAGAGGGTGCAGATTTGTTTTCAGGTCTGAATGTGTGTTGCCAAACGAATTTCCCTAAGGCCCTGGCGGACAGCTCATCCTCCCGCCGCGAAGTGGCAGCGGCTGGCAGTGCCCTGCCGGAGGGAGCGGGGCTCCAGCCGAACACTTTCCTCGTGTGTTGAGTGACAAAAGGGACCGGGGTGCCTGCTCTCACCGTGTTTGCCCCTCTTGCCATGTCCCCCTCTCTCCGCCTGCCCAGACTTGCCCCCAAATGTTTGATCCAGGCTGCGTCTCCTCCTCCCTCCTGGTCCCTGGCCCATTTATCTATCAGAGGCTTAACCTTTTGATCAATTTGTCTGAGCTTTATCTTATCTGCTGTACATTTCCCTTCAACTCTGCTATTTGCTCTCGATGGGTCTGAAGCCGAGGAGGGCCGTGCGTGTAGGAACCTCCCCCACCTCCTTGCATTGGCTCAGCCTTATCACCCGGGGATTAGCTGGGCGCTCTCTTTCTTTATTACTGGCCTGTCCTGCGCTCTTGTGAGTGCGAGCCAGCGGGCGCCCTGTCTGGACCTCGTGTATCCATGGAAGGTATGGCGGCCTCGGGCTGGCAGGGCCGGGCAGCGCAGCAGGCCAGGAGGCAGACGGGCTGGTGGGCGGCGGGGGAGTCCAGAGGTGAGAGGTTTCGCGGGAAGCGCAGGGGGAAACGGGCCATCGAGGCGGTGAAAGCCGAGGCTCGCAGCCCCCTCCCCCTGCCTTTTGTGAGGTTGGTGCAAATGAGGCTCCTGGGGTGCCCAGCGTCAGACCCCCGTCTGCCTGCCGCCTCCCCGACCGCCCGCGCCGAGCTGCCTGCCGGCCGGCAGGAAGGGAACGGGACTCAGTGGCTGCGTTCTTCCCGCCTCCCTGATTTCAGTGGGGGCCCCCGCGGGAGCCCAGAGCCGAGGGGATGAGGGGCCCTTTGTGGGGCTGGAGGCACGCGGGCCTGTCAGAGGGCAGGACGGTGCCTGGAAGCCCGTGCGCTTGGCTGGAGGCCGCTCTGGGGCCGGGGGGCCCAGGGCTCTCGTCCCCTCCCCTCCCCCTGCCTCCAGGGGCCTGACTGGCGCCGGCCAGGGGAGCTGCGGCTGGGCCCCCTGCCGGGCCCCTGACCTGCCCTTGGCCTCTGCCCCGGCCCAGTCCCGCCGGGGTGGAAGCCCCAGCTCAGCGCGCCACTTGCGGGGGGGTGGGCTGGGGTGGGCTGGGGGGTACCCGACCGCTGTCCCTGCCGCCCGTTGGCTCCCGGGCCCCCTGAGCCCGCCCCCGCCGCCCCGCCCCGATAAATGGCAACCCCACACCCCGAGGCAGCGGCTTCCAAGGTGCGAGCGGGGTCCCGCAGGCAGCGGCGGCCAGGCGGGCGCGCAGCAGCGGCTCCCACGTGCGCGCGGCTCCCCGCCCCGCCCCTTCGCGGCCGGCCGCCCGGGACTCCCCGCGGGGGCTCGGCGCCCCGGCCCCCCACTCCGGGACCCGCGGCGATCGCACCGCCTCCCGCCGCCGATCACGCTGCAAATCTCTCCGTCTCTCTTCCCTCCCTCCCTCCCTCTCTCGCTCTCGCTCTCTCGCTCTCTCGCTCTCTCCCTGTCTCTCTCTCCCTCTCCCCTCTCGCGCGCCGTCTCTCTCTCTCCTCCCTCCCTCCTTCTCTCCCCCCCCCCCCCCGCTTTTTTCCTCCGGCGCCGCCTCGGTTCCTGGCTCAGTTCGCCTCGCCGAGGGGCCGGGGACAGAGGTGAGGAGGATCTCTCGCGCGCTTCAGGCCCCAAAGTCGGAACTTGGGGATGACTGAGGACGAGGGCAGGCAGAGGGAGAGACGCCGAAAAGGGGGTGTGACAGGAGGCGTCCCGCGGCCCGGAGGGTGATCCGACGCCCCCCTGCCCGGCTCTCCTCTCGCTCCCCGCGACGGAGCGGCGCCGGGAGCCCGAGGGGCGGCCTCGGCCGTTTTTCTTGGGGGCCCCGGGACCCTTCCCGCGTGTCCCGCGGACGGAACGGGAGAAGGGCGCGGCGGGAGGGCGGGCCGGGCCGCGGGCCCCGCTGCTCACGCGGCGTCTCGGTCTCTCCGCAGAGCCGGCGGCCCGACGTGCCCGGATCCGCGAGCCCATGGAGGGTCTGGGTCGCTCGTGCCTGTGGCTGCGCCACGAGCTGGCGCCCCCGCGGCCGCAGCTGCTGCTCCTGGACTGCCGCAGCCGGGAGCTGTACGAGTCGGCGCGCATCGGCGGGGCGCTGAGCGTGGCGCTGCCCGCGCTGCTGCTGCGCCGCCTGCGGCGGGGGAGCCTGTCGGTGCGCGCGCTGCTGCCCGGGCCGCCGCTGCAGCCGCCGCCGCCCGCCCCGGTGCTGCTGTACGACCAGGCCGGGGGCCGCCGCCGCCGGGCGGACGCCGAGGTCGCCGCCGCCGCCGCCGCCGAGGACTGGGAGAGCGAGTCGGTGCTGGGCACGCTGCTGCAGAGGCTGCGCGAGGAGGGCTACCTGGCCTACTACCTTCAGGGTAGGTGCGGGCACGCGCCCCTCCCCGGCCCGGACCCCGGAGTCTGCGTCGGGAAAATGCGGGGGGCGGCAGGGGGACGGGGGCCGGCCAGCTCTGGCTCGCGGGATGCTCCGAAACCCCAGTGAGGGCACCTCCCCCACCCCATATGCACATACTGAACTTCTGGGAGGGATGCATTCCTAGGCATGGAAGGTTCTGGAAGGTTCCCCACCCCCAGGGGAGGGGGGGTCGGACACACCACATAGCCTGAGGTCCAGAAGAGGGGGGCTTCTCTCCCACGGCCCCCCAACTTCACAGAGGGACACGTGAGCTCTGTTCTCGTCATGGAAGGTTCTGGAAGGTTCCCCACCCCCATGAGTGGGGGGGCGAACAGACCGCATAGCCTGAGGCCCAGAGCGGGGGCTCCTCTCCCATGGCCCCCCAACTTCACAGAGGGACATGTGCGGTCTGTTCTGGTCATGGAAGGTTCTGGAAGGTTCCCCACCCCCGTGGGTAGGGGGGCGAACAGACCACATAGCCTGAGGCCCAGAGCGGGGGCTCCTCTCCCATGGCCCCCCAACTTCACAGAGGGACATGTGCGGTCTGTTCTGGTCATGGAAGGTTCTGGAAGGTTCCCCACCCCCATGGGTGGGGGGGCAAACAGACCACATAGCCTGAGGCCCAGAGGGGGAGTCCTCTCCCAGGGCCCCTGAATTTCACAGAGGGACATGTGAGCACCTACCGGTCACAGAAGGTTCTGGAAGGTTCCCCAACCCCATGGGAGGGGGAGCAAACAGACCACATAGCCTGAGGTCCAGAGGAGGGGGGTCCTCTCCCACGGCCCCTGAACTTCACAGAGGGACACGTGAGCACCTTACCGGTCACAGAAGGTTCTGGAAGGTTCCCCACCACTTGGGGGAGAGTGTGGGGGGTCAAACAGACCACATAACCAGAGGCCCAGAGGAGGGGAGGCCCCTCTCCCATGGACCTGCAGAGCCAGTGAGGTGGTCCCAGCAGGTCTTGCCCTAGGCCGAGGTATGGGAGAGTTTTCCTAGGCTTCCGCCCCTCATCTCAGAGGACAGAAAGGTCAGGACCAGCCCCTACTGTCCCAAGGAGGGGAGGGCCCGGAGCTTCAGTTCTTCCATGGCCTTCCCTGGGTACCTGATGCCCCCCCAGGCTGGCAGTCCCTCTCAACCCTGAGGCTCCCTTCCTGACTCCACTGGGTCTTGCTGCTCTTGCACCTCCTACTTTGGGTGTCTCTGCTCAGGCAGTCCTTGTCCCCACCCGAGGCAGTGGGCTGTGCTCTAGTCCTGGGGTCTCTGGGCTCCCCCTGCAGAGCGCAGCCCAGCAGGCCCTTCCTCCTATCCCCTTCTAGGTGGCTTCAGCAAGTTCCAGGTCGAGTGCCCTCACCTGTGTGAGACCAGCCTCGATGGGCTCCGGGGCGCCGGAGCCCTGGGATTGCCCAACCCCGTGGTGGGGCTGGGCGTCCTGTACCTGGCGTCCGACTGTGCCGACGCCGACTCGGAGCGTGAGTCCACAAGCAGTGGCACGGAATCCGAGGGCACCATGCTGCCCCACGGAGGGCTGCTGCCCTCCTACCCGGTCCAGATCCTGCCCAACCTCTACCTGGGCTCCGCGCAGGATTCTGCCAACGTGGAGAGCTTGGCCAAACTGGGCATCCGCTACATCCTCAACGTGACGCCCAACCTCCCGAACCTCTTTGAGCAGAACGGCGACTTCCACTACAAGCAGATCCCCATCTCTGACCACTGGAGCCAGAACCTGTCCCAGTTCTTCCCGGAGGCCATTGAGTTCATTGGTGAGTGGCCTCGACGCCTCGCCTCCGGGGTCAGGGGGTCGGAAAGGGCTCCTGGCTTGTGCTCATGTTGCTTCTCCTCCCCCACCCCAGATGAGGCCCTGTCGCAGAACTGCGGGATCCTGGTCCACTGCCTGGCAGGTGTCAGCCGCTCCGTCACGCTTACGGTGGCATACCTCATGCAGAAGCTGAAGCTGTCTCTCAACGACGCGTACGACCTGGTGAAGCGGAAGAAGTCCAACATCTCCCCCAACTTCAACTTCATGGGCCAGCTGCTCGACTTCGAGCGTACCCTGCGCGCGCAGGCGCGCATCCAGCAGGGTTTGGCTGTGCCCGACATCCCCACCTACTTCACCACCCCCACCAGCGAGGGTGTCTTCGGGCTCGACACCACCTAGAATACCACCTAGGGCTCGCCCTGCCCTCCATGGGGGGGAACGCAGTAGGAGGGAGCAGAAAGAAGCAGGAGCGCGGGGACAAGCCTAGCAGGAGACACCCCCCCATCCCCCCACTTGAAACCCAAGAAACCCTATTAAACACGCCTCTGGCCTAGCCCTGGGCCGCAATGCTGCACACCCACACAACCGTGCCTTGTGCTTCTTTCTTGGGGAGGGGGAGAGGGATTGCCATCCTAAGGGACCACCTGTCCTGCCAGGGTCCCACAACGGCCGCCCAAGGGCCACTACTGGCCCCGGAGCTGGGGGGGGGGGAGGGGGCGTCTGGGTGACTCCTGCTGGCAGCGCACACTGCATCCCAGCAGCCGTGCATCTGGCTCCCGACTGTTTACCCACTTGCCGTGTGAAAAGATACCTTTCTCCCTCTCCCCCCAGATGTCGTGCCCGCATCACTGGGGCTCTTTGTCACTGAGGGTGGTCACACTGCTGCGAGGAGCCGGGGTCTCCGGGCAAGAGCGGCCTGGGGGAGGGGACAGAGGCCTGGATTGGGCCGCTGTGGGTTGGAGGGGCGGGGAAGGGCCCGCGCCGCCGCCGCCAAGACACACAGGGTCATTCATGGCAGTGCACACCCGCCCCTCGTGCCGCGTGTGTCTGTGAGGCGGCAGACGCAGAGGTGGGGCCGCGGCTGAGTACATGGGAGGGCTGGGGGGGAGGGGGGAACTGCCCGCCCCTCCCCCACCTCAGCTCTGCCCATTAGCGCCTGTCCAGTCATCCAGGACACCTCTGGGGTGTGAGGCGATAAAAGGGAGCAGGAGGCCTGGAAGGATACCTTGGGGCTTGAGGTGCAGACTCAGAACATGCCTCTGGAGGTGCCGGGGGGTGCCCTAGAGCCTGCCGGCAGCCGCAGGAGCGGCTCTGCAAAGCGAAGCCTCCTTCGTGCTGACGCAGGCTGTGAAATCCCAAGGAAGCCAGCCGACTCGCGCTGACCGCCCAGCCTCCGCTCCAAGGCCTCCTGCCCAGCAGGGCTGCAGCTTGTCAAAAGCTGTGATTCTGGAAGATTCCAGCTGGAGATTCAGGAAGGGAAGGGCACAGGAGGGCGGGTGGGGGCAGGCTGAAGGAGAAGGTGGCAGAGGCGGTGAGAGCCATGTGGACGCCACCCCCCACCCCCCGAGAAACCCTGCTTCCTGGAGCAGAAGGGATGGAGGCCGAGCGGAGGGCAAAGTGAAGGCCAATCTGGAGGCTGAGCCTGCTCTGGGCTGAGTGCAGGCCCTGTCTGCTGCCCGGCTCTTAGCTGCTGATTCCTAGGCCTTCCCAAGCCCTCTGAGTCCAAAATGCATGGACGGGGGCCGGAAAGAATATAGTGGGGAGACCCCTCGCCTTGCCTGCGGGTGACCTGGGTTCAATACCCAGCCTCCCATAGGATCCCCTAAGCCCACCACGGGTGATCTCTGAGTGCAGGGCTAGGAGTAAGCCCTGAGCACTGCGGGGTGTGGCCCCTAACAACCCCCCACAAAATGCACGTAGGGAGCATACGGCGTCTAGGCTCACGGCAGCTGGGCCAAGCCTCATGACCAGTCACTGTTGGACGGGGGATGGCCACTGCAGAGACGGTCTGTTCAGGGACTGGGGCCTCCTGCTTGACGCCAGGTTCTGTGGGACTCTGGGCCTGGATAGGGCTCCTGGACACTGGAGAGATACGGGAGTGGACTGTGCCCATGCCTTGGCCACACATTCTCACTGCTTACACCCTGGCCGCAGTGCCCATCCTTCCTTTAGTTGCTGGGCAGTCCCTCCATTTTCTTTTACATTTTATACATGCTGTCATCATTCCGGGTCCCTGGAGCACCCCCTCCATCTCAGCATCAAGCTTTCCTAATGCCACGGGGACCTGAGAGGTAACACCTGGTCCCCCCAGCACTCCTAGGAGGCTGAAAGTAGCCCTGCAGGTGGCACACCCTAATGCTTGACCCTAAGACGGAAGGTGTTCCTGGATTATGCAGGGGCTGAGCACTGCACTACGCAGCCCTTTAGCGGAAAGAGGAGCAGGAGAATGACAGATCACGAGTGATCCAGCCACTTGGACTGTGCGTACAACAGCAGGGAAGGAAATGTGCTGCACCCCAGGGGGCTAGCGGGTAGCTGATACGCTTGCCTGACACCACACAGGGTCTTCCGGCTACAGCCAGGGGTGACCTCCGAGCACAGAGCCAGGAATAGGCCCTGAGCACCACTGGGTGTAGGCCAAGCCCCCAACCCCCACCACCCACAAAGAAGTGAGGTTATTTGCTGTGACCTCGGATCTGGAGGAAGCATTATAAAGGACACCTGGTTCTGAAAGTGTCGAGCTGGAGCCAATCTGCTAGAGTGCTCCAGGCAGAGAGGGGTCCTCTCAGAGATGCGTGGAACAGCATGAGGGGACCGGCCCCACATGAGCCTGGAAACCGTGTCTCGGATGACGACAACCCTTAACAATGGCAAAATTGCAGACGTTCATCAGGAGCACTGGGCATCTCCGTGGCACTTGGAGTTTGCAGCTGAAAATAATGATTTTATATTTGGGTTTTGGGGCCACAGTGGGTGGTGTTCTGCCATTCCTGCCATCATGGGTGATATCACAGGTCGTTCCTAGTGGGGCTGCAGGGGCCATTGACGCCATCCCCCAGCCCGATACAGTGTCTTTTCAAAGTTCCAAACGGGGGTTGGAGAGAGGGCTCAGTGGGCTGAATGTATGCTTTGACCCCCCATACCACAGAGTCCCCCAAACACCGCCCAGAGTAGTCCCTGAGCACAGAGTCAGGACTAACCAGTGAGAACTACCAGGGGTGCCTCCAATATAACCAAACTGAAAAAAAAAACCAAAATTCTAGATGAAGTAGTGGAGGGGGAGCTCCCAACAGTATCCGTAGACATGAGCACGATTCTCCTGTGCAAGAATCTTCTCCAGATAGCCCAAGATGCCCTGTAGAAAAGTCTAAGATGTGCGAGGAAAACATCACATGTACAAAGGAACAAGTCAGCGTGACTCAGAGGCACCCACGAGGCTGGGGCTCAGGGATTAAATGGACGCCGGCCCAGCCCCAAACTAGGCATGTGCCCTAACCCTGGTGCAATCACTCTGGACCCAAGATAAAATAAGATATTGTTACTCCAAACATCATTAAGCAAAATAAACCTACTACATTCTCTAGTGACTGACAGGCAGCTTCTTTCTAATGCAGTCCAGAGGCAGGTGAAGGCCAATAAAGTTTGAAAGAGCCACTCAGACAAGTGAGGGGACTCACACATCTGCTCCCCAGAAAACACGAGTTTATTTATTTATTTATTTATTGCTTTTGGGGTCACATCGGGCAATGCACAGGGGTTCTTCCTGGCTCTGCGCTCAGGAATTACCCCTGGCAGTGCTCAGGGGACCATATGGGATGCTGGGAATCGAACCCGGGTCGTCCGCGTGCAAGGCAAACGCCCTACCTGCTGTGCTATTGCTCCAGCCCCAGAAAACAAGAGTTTAAATGACAAAAACCATTTTTTTGATCCAGAAGTCAACCTCAGTCCTCGGTGAGCAGCACCAAGAAGAAGCTGACCAAGAGTTTGGCTGCCACTGTGCTGAGGCTTGAAAGATGGGGTGCCTGTCCCACACACAGGGCTGGGAGGAACAGCGAGTAGCCCGGGCCCTGCACTCTCCTGGAAAGCCTCCAGGCTCCACACACGTCCCAGTGGGAAGATCTGAGAGTGGCCTGAACAGTGAGAAAAATTCTCCATCAGACACCTGTCCACTCAGCACTCAGGCCTGACCACGCCGCCTTGGCAGGTGAGGGACAAAGCCTGTGCTCAGCCAGCCATCCCATCTCCTCAGCCCTGGGCTTACATTCAAAGGCAGGTCATGATCATGAGTTTGATTTGGAAGCCAACCTGGGTGTGCTCAGGAGTGCAGGGATCACTCCTAGTAGGGCTCAGGGCTGGGACCAGAATCAGCAACGTGCAAGACAAGTGCCGGACCTGCTGTGCTCTCTCTAGCATCCTGAGATACTTCGAAATGGACAGCGAGACGCAGCATTGCACATTGCAGGGAAAGTGATTCTGCCCCAAACTTTCCATGGCAGAGACAAGTTTGAAAAGACCACACAGAAACCTCTGGAAGGAACGGAAATCTCCAAAGCCTGAGTGAACTACTCTGAAGGCAGCAGGAGAATATCAGTCGAGGGAGAAGGGCAGTCCAGGAGATTGTCCAGCAGGCTTCCCGGAGAGAGCTAGAGGAAGAACATCCGGTCAGCATTCCTCTGGAAACTATATCCAGCAAAGCCAGCCTTCAAAGACATTCCCAGGGCAGCAAGGACTGAGACCATTGATTTCTAAGGTACTTCTTTCCAAGAATTAGGAAAGAAAGGAAGGCGCGAGAGTGATACCACAGAGGGTAAGGCACCTGCCTTGCATGAAGCAGATCCTGGTTCGATCTCCAACAGCCCACAGGGTCCCCTGGTCACCTCCAGGAGTGATTCCTGAGTGCAGAGCCAGGAGTAAGCCCTGAGCATTCATGGGTGTGGTTCAACACCCCCCCCCACACACACAAACATTGTCATCCTGTTGTTCATCGATCGTCTCGAGCAGGCCCCAGTAAGGTCTCCTTCGTTCTAGCCCTGAGATTTTAAAAAGTGCCACATTTGAGGCTCTTTCAGGGTCAGGAGAATGAGACCCACCATTGTTACTGGTTTTTGGCATATTGAATACGCCACGGGGAGTTTGTCAGACTCTGCCGTGTGGGCAGGATACTTTCGGTAGCCTGCCAGGTTCTCCAGAGTAAGAACTGGATGATAAGATGCAGCCACGCGCTTCCGGGAGCAGGGTTAGATAGTCTCTGGGTCTTGGCCGTTGATGGGATTACACGGCCGGGGGCAGTTGGTGGGTGTAACGCCTACATACTGGAAGATGGGGCATCTCGGTGGAGGAGGCCCCATTCCCAATCCGAGCAGTTTTGGAGATCAACGCCCCGGGTCCCGCACACCTGGGTTCCTCTGCTGGTTCCTTCATGAGTGAGGTTCGTCCGAACGTGTGGAGAGTGATCTTAAGC